TCCCACTCGAGGAACAGGATCGCGCGCCAGTCCCTCGTGCCGAAGCGCTTGATCTTGCTGCCAGGGCGGTGGGAGAGTCGCACGAGGTGGAGCAGCATGGGCAGGAGGCGCACGAACAAGACCATGTACCTGTCTAGGCGGTCATCGACGCGCTTCCTCTCCTTGCCGTTGCTCTCCTTGCCGTTGCCCTTCTCCACTACCTCGCCCTGCTCTTTCTCCTGCTGCTCCTCGCCCTGCTCCTTCGCGACCTTCGGTCCGGCGTTCATGAAGAGGTGGAGGGGCGGGAGGAACGTCAGGCCGTTCTTCTTCAACTCCGTGGGCGCCACGAGCTTCTGGTTGCGCAGCGCTATCCCCTCGGCGTCGAGGTAGGTGCAGATCGGTTGCGGGATGAAGGGCGGGCGCTTCTTGCCCCGAAGGTCGATGAAGCGGCGAATCGCGGGCGCCCACTGCGACAGGTACTCGTAGCGGGCCTGTGACGTCCCGATGTCCTTGTGCTTCTCGGCGAACTTCTTCTCGCGCTTGTCCTGCTTCTTCGCTTCTTCCTCGAGAAGGCGCTGGCGCTTTGTATCTGCGATAACCGGGTAAGTGAATATGTCTAGTATGAAACCAGAGAAGGACCACTTACCACGCTCATTTTCAGTGCTCTCCGCCTTCCGTTTCTGGCTCACTTTGAGCTCAGAAGGCTGATGTGACGGCGTCGGCGCATCCGGCGACGAGTGAGTTGCACCCATCCGCGCACACGCCTGGACCTCCTCCCACGCGACATCCTCAGGCGCGTACCACCTGAGCGGGAGGTCCTTCTGTTTCACGAACACTGTAAAACTTCATTAGAACAAGAATAGATAGAATAATAATGATATAGTCACTTACACAGCTTATAATCGACGTCGTGCTCACAGCGGATAGTGCCGGGCTCCTGCAGCTTCTCCTCCGAAATACCGGCCACCTCGAATGGCATCTCCAGGTACGTGGGCACGCCCAATGCGCGGTAGAAGTCGTGGAACTTCTCGATGTCCTCGCCGGCGAGTATGACACCGCGCATATGTACGAGTGGAGCGTCGACAACCGGCAGGACTGGGCGCTTGAACTCTCATTGAGCACGCAGCCACGCCTTCGTATCGTCGTCGTCGACCTCTCGGAGAAGTCCCGTGCAGAGCAAGATGAAGCCCTCGACTTCGCAAGAGAACCGCCGGAAGGCTTCCCAGCAGACGGCAAAGTCGGCGAACGATCTGATCCGGCCGTACCGCAGCAGACCCCACGCCTTGCGCATATCGAGGGCCGCGGCGGTCGGGATGACCAGGTCCTTGGCCACTTCGAGATGAAGTCCGGAGAGCGAGTCGGTGACCAAGGCGCTCGCTAGGAGCCGTGTCGCAGTGGCGAACTGATCCCTGAGCGCGTTCACACGCGGGATCAACTGCTCGTGTACGTCCCACCGACACACGCAGTCGGACGCCGATGGGATGCCGTCGTTGTAGACATCTTCGAGGTCTGGGTGCCTATGCAGAGCCTCCTCCAGATCCTCCTTCGTGGGCGCGCGGAAGGGCAACGTGTCGTTTACGGTCCTCCGGTTGGGCGGCACCGGAATGCACGCCATGTGCGCCGACGAGCGGTCGTTCGGCTGGGGATGCAGGCAAAAGTCGAAGATGCCCCAGCGCGCATCGCGGTGAACGTGCCCGACCATGCGCCTCCCATGCGCGTTCGGTGGTATGTACGTGGTGCCGTAGGCGAGCACCACGAGCTCTCCCCAGCGCGCAGCGGCGGAAAAGTCCTGCGGAGGGCGGCGCAGCGGCGCGGGTGCGGGCTGCAACTGAGCCGAAGGGGTTGGCTCGGCGGAGGGTTGGGGTGGGGAGGCTGGAGGGGGTGGGGCTGAGCGCTGGCTCGAGCGCTCAGAGCTAGGCGCAGACTTCGGGTGGCGCATGCGCGAGGACGAGGATGGGAACCACTGTTCCTGAGAGGCCTTCGCGGCCTCTGCTTCCTTCTCCTCTGCAGCCTTCTGCTCCGCGGTCTTCTTCTTGAAGCGAGGAAGCTTCCTCGCGGGAGCTGCGGGTGCAGCGCCGATTGCCGGAGCGGGCGGGTTCGCCATTTTGACGCTGGCGGGTATATCCACTACGCTATCACGACACCTAAAGAGAACTCGCCCAAGGGACAACCCAAAGGACGAGAACCCGGTGATCTCGATGTTGTTGTGGTGGTGGTGGGTGTTGAGGAACAACAACGCCAAACGCGCGGCGAGGTTCGGCGACGCGAGTCGCGTCTTCCCACGCCTCAACCACTGGCGTTGATGGCTCGATAATGACTATTGTAGCCTCACCTTGTGTTATTATATCTTACTATCACACTAGGCACTTATGTAAAGTAGAAAGGAAATATAATTGCATTTGAGAAATAAGCATACATGAATGTCATACAAAGAAATGGGCAAAACATGTACTACTTTCTAATAGTAATATATGCGTGTCTGTCAGAAAAGGGATTGACGTAGAACTTAGGGCAAACTTCGAGGACATTTGCGCTAGTCCAACAGCGAGGAACCTTGGCTCCGAATTTGGGGGTGAGGGAGACGCTACGGCGTATACGGTCGATAGGGAGAATGGACACCACGCGCTCGCCGTCGCGTACCGAGCGGTCGACGCGGTACATGTTGCCGCGCTTATCTGGGCCACGAGCGGGGAAGGACGAGAACCATTCGATGTACGCGAAGTGGGTGGGGATGCCGGTAGGGTCGTTGAACGTCTTCTTTCTTGCCGTTTCAGTAAGTGCGAATATAAGCCTCACTTGGCCAACGCGATATCCTAACGCGCATACATCAGCAATGTCATCGAAATAGAAGGTATAGAGCACGCACCGGTTACTCCGTTAGAACCTCCTTCCCCATACTCGTCTATCAGCGCCGTGCTGTACTGTCCCTGCACCTTCCTCCTTTGGGCGTCACGATAAGCCGGTCGGGCCAAGATTGAGTCGGGGAGTTCTTGAACCCACTCTCCCTCACGTTCCAGAGCGTCCGTGTGCCAGAACTTGAGGCGGTGATAGGCGCAGACCGATGTGAACGGGAGCGTGTATGCGGTCGCTGCGATGTCGGCGATGTGTTGATCGGAGAGCGTGGGGAGCTTGATCTTCAGAACGTACTGCTTGAGAACCGATTCGAAATCCTCGGCGCCGTAAAGCCTGTCCGCGTCTGCAAAGTTCACCGATCTATTGGGCGTGCGGGCGATCTTGCGCTTGAGCTTGGGCGCGCGAGGGAGCGGGGCGCGTGGTAGGTCCTCGAGCGTCGGCCGACCGTGGAGACGCCAATATACGTATGATTGATGGGCTTGAATCTGTTCGCGCCGCTGAAGCCAGACGGTCATTTGCGGGTATTCGTCCTTCCGGTTGGACGCGCGGTAGGCGGACTTGGCGAAATCGATGTGAAGGCGCTCCGAATACGACGTGTTGAAGTTGTCGGCGGTTCCGAATAGCCGAATGGAGTCGTAGTAGTGGGCGATGGCGTGAAGTTTTGGAAAGTTGAAGTGTTCGCGTGCCTTGAGGTCGATAAATACGTTCTTGTTGTTGTGGAATGCCCTTAGCGCTTTCTGGATATCGCGCAAAGTGCTCTCCGAGGCCTCCGGGTACTGCACGAGGTAGACGAAGTCGAGTAGTGCGCGTACAGCGCGTATGACGCGTGCAGCTCGATGAGGATTGCGGCTGCGCCGAAGGGGCGCGTCTATGATGACGCCCAACAGCACGCGGCAAATATCTTGATGTTCGGATCCGGTGACGCGCGAGAGGCCGGAGATCCCCTTGGTGAAGAGCCGGAGTTGGTGATTGGCGGGTAAGCACTGGAAACGCGCATCCAGCGCCTTGTCGCCATACACGGCCCTCAGCCAAGCAATCAGATGCTTCACGACGCCCTGGTACAGCTGGTGGAGAATGTCGGGTTGGATTGCCTGGAAGATGTTGCTGTCGGGGTAATCTTGCCAAAAGGTCCGGATGGGTTTGACGCCTGCGGCCTGACAGCGTGCAACGAAGTCGGCGGCCTGCACGTCGGTGTCGTGGGGTGTATGAAGCGCCTCGGTAGCGGCGGCGATATCCTGCGGCTTGCATTTGTCTTGAAAGCCAAAGCGGGACCGGTCGAGGGTGCCCTTGGGGCATAGACCGTACTTTGTCCCCGTAACAAGGACTTGTTCGGGGTAGTCACCCACAAACGCCGCGAGAAGAGGGTGACAGCGGCGCTGCACACCGTCACCAGACGTGAGGATGACGCCGTCCCTCGCCACGTCTCGGAGAGGCTCCAATATGTCTGTTAGACATATATGGAACAGGTTTGCCTGCGCTCGCCGTCAAACGTCGTCGTCCTTGACGCCTAGGAACTTGGTCACCGGAAGGTAACCAACGAGAATTTGTCCGTGGAGGGAGGTCTTGCGACAAAGCTCCTTCGGCAGATTACCGATTGTGAGGTATACGGGGTAGGCTGATCGGTTGCGGAAGAGGGTGAGTTGCGTCTTGTCGGAGGATAGGATGAGGGGGATGATAGTGGCGCCAGGCTTTCTCCTTTCGAGTCGCAGCTAAGCATATTGTTAGTATCTACAACTCATTAGTATTAACTGCGACGCACCTGCATCTTCCACCACCACTTCCCTGTATGCATATCCGAATATGCTCGCTCTTCCACTTCGCCAACCATCACATAATGCCTCTCCGGCGCGAAGACGAGGGACGTCGCGAATTCCGGTCGGCTAAAGAGTTCCTTGACGATGTCAAGCGAGTTGCGCATGTACAAATGGAGCTCCTCGCTACCCAACTTGTAAGTCCGACGCGTGAACGCGGGTCGCGCAGGCAGCGCGTTGTCCATGACGTTATGCAGATCCCGCGTGCTCTTGAACTGAATACCTAACTGGTCAACAAGCTAGGATGAAGCGTATGAGTAAGTGATAAAAGGATAGGAATGTATCAGCACTTACCCCCTCGATCTTGAGCAAGTCGGTGAATGCGTTCGAACCGATGCTGTGGGTCTTTGCCCAGGCGGCAATATCCCAGTTTAGCTTTGATTCGAACGGATGGTAAGCGTTACTTGGGTCTCCTGCGTTGGGAAGGCCCGCCTCATACTGGCTGTATGGGTCGCCCGGTGGCTCGTCACCGTTGATAGGCTCACCAGCCCGACGCCCGAACGGAACGACCCTTCTTCCGGGTGGCTCAGGCGTATCCTCGTCTTCGGGAGGTGGTGGGAAATCGTCCTCGTCTTCTGGAGGTGGCGGGTGATCACCACCAGGTGGTGGTGTACCATCGGGAGACGGCGGATCGGGTGGATCGGGTAGAGGAGGCGGCGGGAGGTTGCCCCCAGGTGGCGGTGTTGGCGAGGGATGCGGGGAAGGTGATGGGGAAGGTGGTGGTGGTGGCCAGGGTATGTCCTCCCAGTCGGCGTCGTCGTCGCTGCCTTCTCCCAAGTCAGCGTCATCGTTGGCAATGGGCTCCTCCTCGCTATCCTCTTCTTCCTGCCCATCATCCGTGTCATCACCGTCGTCAGTCTCCCAACCGCCCATCCTTTCCCAGCCGTCCTCGTCCTCGACCTCTTCATCCTCCTCTTCTGCAAACTCGGCATCGACTCGCCCACGCGCTGCTTGTCCAACTCTCCGCGCCCGCGCCCGATCCACTAGCGCCCAACCCAGGGGCGCGTCTGCGTCTCCTTCTTCGCTGTTGCCGATGCTGATGTCGGGTTGGTCGATGTCGAAGTGCACTCCGGGCTCCTCGTTCCGCACTTCGGGTTCCAAGGGGTGGTCCACGTCCATGGGTTCGGGATCTGCGGCATGCGGTGGGAGGAAAGGTGCTGCGCTATCAAGCAGCATGGGCTCGGGCTCAATGGCGTTGGGCGCCGGGGAGTTCGGAGGAGTGGGCTCGGGTTCGGGGTGCGAAGTGGCAGTACTGGCCTGTCGAGCGAGCTTTCGAGCCAGATGTTTTTCTCGGCGCGATGCAAGCGCCCCCCTAGCACGCTGCGTCCGAACAGCTGCGTCCCGTAAGTCGTTGGCGTCTCGGTTGCAGTCCGGATCCCTGCCTTGATGGATGTGCAGCTTGCGCTGACTACCGTACTCTCGGCCGCATTTGATGCATTGCACTATTGAGACCGCGGTGCGAGGCTGGGATGGACCCGCTTCAGCGTTCGGCTCGATGGGCGGAGGGTCTAGTTGGGTGTGAGACGATGATCCTAATGATTGTAAGTGCCCAGCCCTGCGCGATCTTGTAAGTGACCGTACCTCGTAAGCGTGCACCACCTAGGAGGTGGTAGCGCAGATGGATGGTGCTGCAATCGACTAGCCCGGCCTCTCGAAGGTCTTGCGTCGGGCGTAAAGCAAGATCCCGCCCCAGGAAGAGCAAGGAAAACACCAATCTTTCTTCACCGCATCTGCGGAGCACCTCGTGTTGCCGTTCCAGTTGATGCACAAGCCAACGAACGTTCGCGCCCGGAGGCACACCTGTTTACATTATTAGGAATACAATCTCAAGTAGAGCGATAATGAGCATTACTTACGAATGAGAAGAGTGGCGTTTGTTCCACGTACGAAAATGTTGTACTCAGAGTGGCGCCATTGAGCGCAGTTGAGGAGGGATCCAGCGTATTCAATAGTATCAAAAGCATAGTAGTCATAGTTCAAGTAGCCGAATATGCAGCCGATACAGCATAGAGACAGTTCGAGGAAGAGGAGCGCATATGGGAGAATGTAGAAGTAGGGTGATAAGCAGGCAAGGAGAGGGCGGAAGTTAATAGCGAAGAGAGAGCAAAAGCTTTGAGCCCATAGGCGGCCAGAGACCCAGAAGATAGGCAGCATGCGCCTGGACGGTGCGGACGGAGAGAACGAGCCGGCGCAATATACTCGCCACGAGCGTTGAGAAGCCAGGCGATGTCGTGAAGTCAGAAATGTTCCTAAAGGAGGAGAAAAAAGGGGGGAAATCGTTAGCGCGTCGACATGTCTGTTTGTGATCCGAACTCTTACCTACGGTAGCCAGCGCAGCGCATTGGCATCCACCCCAGGAAGTTAGACCCCCTCCACCACCACCACCACCACCACCACCAGCAGTAGTAGCAAAGAATGTCGGCCCGGAATACTCGCGCTCGCAGTGGGAAGCAGCAGCAGCAGCCTCCGCCTGCGGAGAAGCCTCCGACGAAGGGCAAGACCCGCGGTGCTGGCAGCCGCAATGCGACCAAGGCTGTCGACAGCGCCGCCGACAAAGCGCCGGCTAAGGCCAAGCCAACGCCTAAGGGCAAGGCAGCTCCCAGCGGCGGCGCTGAGGAGCAGTTGACAGCGCAGGACGCTGCCAACGTCGACGCTATCGACGAGGAAACCGGTCAGTCACGCTGGCACTTCAATTACGAACTCGAACACTGACCTTGTTCAGCTCGCAAGCGTGCGTTGTCAGCTGCGACGGCCAACAACGAGGACCTCAACCCTCCTCGCAAGAAACGGTCAGAGAAGGGCGTTGCCGGTAACGTTCCCGACGTCGAGGCCGACTCTATTGGCAAGTCTAAGCCCGAGGAGGACAAAGACGACGTCGACGCTAAGCCGAAGAAGTCTCGTAAGGCGGACTCTAACCAGCCGCTCGTGCCCAAGGTCGACGACGAGCAAGACG